AAATTTAAACAGTCTATTTCAATGACTAAATTTTCGCGGCCAAGACTTTTAAGCCATTGAAGAGATTCCTTGATTGCAAAGGCTTTCGCCATAAAGGGATCTCGATCGTAGTTGATTCGACCGCTCTTGGCTTCCACGAACCTGCCGTCATGGTCACGAACAACCGCTCCTAAGCCAACTCCGTCAGCAAACACAACAGCGTCCACGTTGCATTTCAACCAGTACCGCTCTGGTGACTCCCATCGCACCGGACAGCCACCAGATTGCTCGTTGTGAACTGCCGGCTTGAAAGCCTCTTTCGACGTGACCCGTAAACTCGCAACATGACTCCTCAGCGCCTCCATTCCCCGCGACATGCTTTTCCAAATGCGATCATTCCGCTAAGTCCAAACAACCCAGAACACGACCGCCATTCGGACTGCCAAATCTGGATCCGAATCTCTGATAATGGTTTCCATATACTCCTGCAAATTCCTCCCTTGCAGCACATCTTCCATCCCCCATAAATGACGAGCGGTCTAATAGTTGCAAAACAAATGCTCGACTGTTTCATAATAATGCTCGCAAAATGGACAGCCTCCACCGATCCAGATTCGCTTCGTCTTTAGAATTTCCCGGACCGGTAGTGTGTTTATATAGGAAAAAATAGAAGTAATTCGGATCTATGACCTAATAATTATGGGATGAAATTAATAACTATTGTAATGTAACATTGATGGCTAATAATTTTGGTAAAAAATTATATATAGTATGATTACTATTATTGTAATATTTTTTTTTTGAATGCTACTAACTCTATTACAATGTAGTATCTGTTCATAATAACTACTTTCTCAACATATTAAAGTACAAAGAGTCAATACTGTCTCCACAGATGCTCAAACGCATAACTTCCTATATGGGAGTGCAACCTTGGTGCCATTAGATATTTGTTTTTGAGTGATGCAACATTCCCATCTAAATATTGACTTCCTTATTATCTAGAACTATTTGATTGTGTGTATGCATGTGTGTGTGTTTTTTAAAATAAAATTGATTAATACGTAAATTTATTTATTACGGAAATACGGAGTAGTATTTTTAACTTAGGGGTATTAGTCAATTCACAAGTACAGTGGCCAATGAATATAAAAGATTTTATTGTTATACCAAAAGAAGAAAATAACATTTTTTTTCTTCATTGCATTTATAATTTTTTTTTTTTTTTTGTGAGGATTGCATTTATAATTTATATTGTTAAAAATTGATTTAATTATATAGAATGAGAAGCAATTGAAATTATGGATTAATAAAATCTAAAATAATAATTAGCACTATTTATGCCTCCAATTAATTTTGTAATTTAATTAATTTGGTGAAATAAAAAATATAATTAGTTAATGGAAGTTTTAATGGTAAGGAAGCAATGTTGTCTAGTACAAATGCAAAGAAATTTTCTAAAATACAACGTACAACTCTCTCGATGCATAAATAAGGACATAATTCGAATGTACTCATCCAAATTCACACATAAATATTTATAAATTTGTAAAATGTGTAAAAATTATTAACTGTTACAAAATCATATTCAATTAGAGTTAGAATTGCCAAAAATAGCTCAAACTCGTCAATCATGCATGAAGAAAGCAAAATTGGTGGAAAAGCAAGCTATATTTAGCGTGGTAGGAGCTCTGAACAACGTAAAAGTTGAGTTGTCTGTTTAAGAGAAACGTATTTAAAGGTCTAAAGTTACCAAATTAGCGGGTGGGCCCCTGTTGCTATTCACAAGAATTGTTTAATTACCTGAAAATTGAATTATTTATACGTTTAGGAAAAACTACGAAAAAGTTGAGTTGTCTGACTAGGAGAAACGTAACCAAAGCTACCAAAATTTGTGGGTGGCACCGCAATTCACATGTAAATTACACCCATCCATTATACATCTATCAGCATTTGTTTCTAGAAATCACAAAACAGAACAGGTACGTAGCACCAAACATTACATCATTACGTAATAATAATCACTTAGAACTAGTTATGATTTAATAGAAATTTTTTATGCCTCATTCATTGTCTTCACTTAATTGAAATGTGTGTAATTTTTTATATATAAAATCATATATATATATATATATATATATATATATATATATCATTAGAGTTAATTCTATTTTTAGTTCTAGATTTATAAGTGATAGTTTACTTATTTTTTAATCGAAAATCCATATTTGGTCATAGTATTATTGTGATATGATCATTTTTGGTCTTCCGTCAACAAAATCGTTAAATATAAGGACATTTCAATCTTTTTTATACAAAGTAGGTTGACCCGTTATATATTTTTATGTTTATTTTTTTTTAAAAAAATCCATAATTGAAGACCTAAATGTCCTTCACTTTAATGAAATTTCAACCATTTTGTTGATAGATGATCAAAATTGGTCATGTCATAATAATACTAGGACCAAAAATAGATATTTTGATTAGAAAAAAAAAAAGACTAAAAGTGAACTGTCACTTATAAATCTAGGACAAAAAATGAAATTAATTGTTTATGTAGTTTATAATCATTTAATTTTTAATAAGATTAATTGATAAATAATGAAGTGTAGTGTAACAAAAGTATGAGGTTTTGAAAAGTATAATTTGATTAAGTTTTTTTTTTTTTTTTTTTTTTTTTTTAAATACAAGTTATGTTTTTTTTTTTTTTTTTTTTTTTTTTTTTTTTTTTTTTTTTTTTGAATACTATTAATACAAGTTATGTTTAATATACAGGGTTTTAATTTATCGGTCTTTCCTAATACAAGGAACAATTTCCATCAAACATTCCATGAATCTTAGATTATTTTGTTATTATTAGAAGGGAAAATTGTAATCTATGTACCTCCATAATATGTCAATTATCAATGTCACTTCTGAATTATTAGTGGTGTAAATACGATCTCTTAATTTTCAAAATGGTACATATATTGTCCTTCTCGTAGTGTAAATGTTGCCCATCAATTTTTCTCCCGTACGGTACGAGATGGCAATATATGTACCATTTTAAACATTGAGGGACAACATTTACACCACTGATAATTCAGAATTGACATTTATAATTAGCGAAAGGGCATAAATTATAATTTCCCCCGTTAGACTGTTCACCACTTGTATATATTATCTCCAATGGGCTAATATAGAATGACAAAACAAAAATATTTGTCATAAGACTTAAAGGCTACTTAAATATTTGTGGCTTTGTGCTATATTTACTTTGATGTATTTTTTTTCATTATTTATTTACAGAAAAGTTCACAATTGCTACCCGAATGCATGTTCTGGGTGAATTATGTTTTATGATCTTAGTCGACAAAGAATCATGAAGAGATAAACCAACATATATTACCCATATTGAAATTATAGCAAAATTATTTTACATTCGATAATTTCAATATGTAATTTTTTTAATTCTTTATTTTTTTTCGTATAGTTTATATCAAAATTTTTATTATAGTGTACAAATATCTCAAAAAATAAAATTGGTAATAAACCGGCATTTGACTTAGGGGTGTTCAATCGGTTAACCTTTCAGTTAACCGAAATTTTTAAAACTTTAACCGTTAACCAGACCGAACTTTGTATTACCGAATTAACCATTAACTGAAATTTTTAAAATCTTTTAACCATTAACCGAATCGAAAAATTCGATTAAAAAACGATTAATTGAACTTTGTCGGTTCGGTCGGTTAACCGAAAATTTACGAAGCTTACACACCCCTAGTTTGACTTATGTAACAATGGTCCCCGCAGATGCTGAATTGTAATTTAAAAAGAAACATATACTCCGTAATTACTATCACGACTGGAAATCATGGAATTTACGACCACCTGAAAGTGATATTAAATCAAGTTGAAAGTAAAAAGTGGCCGAAAATAGCAGCAAAGGTTTTTCCGGATACCAAAAGTGGTCGGAACAAGGCTTTCTTCTTATTTAAGATACTTTTCAGGTGGTCGGAAAAATTCTATAATTTCCAGCAGTGTATGTCGATAAATATATAGTCAACATAATAAGGTTGGATTGAGTTGACAATGAACTCCTAGTCTGGTGGCATGAAGTGTCTCCCAAATAGAAAGTCATGAGTTTGAGCTCCAGTAAAATAGTATCCGTAATATTCAGAAAAGGTTGGATTGAGTTAATTAGATAGAGTTTTCGAGAGTTGAATATAATAATTAAACACAATTGTCATAACACGGGTCATTTTGGCGGGGCAGGCTAACAAACCTGTCAAAATGCGCGCCATAAAATTCAAAATACGCCCTGCCTTTTTTACGGGACTGGACAAACTAGCTTGGTGATTTAAGCCCATTTTGACAGCTCTAGTTATAAGACTCAAAGATTTAATACAGAGTATTACTTTGCGTAATTTAAAAACTTTATGATATAATTATAGACCTTAGATGGCATGTAGTGACTTCTCCCATGTGGGAGGTCATGAAATCGAGCTACAGTGGAGGCGTTGTTGACTCTGTGTGCTTCATTAGGTTGAGAAAGTATGTTTGAACAGATACTACAATGTAATAGAGTAGAAAAATTTTAGGGTGAAAATTTGTATGGATCGGAATACATCCATGTATGGTATGCGTGATTGCAGTGTATATACTATACACAAGATAAATTGTTGATATATATTAAAAAATAACATTGTAGCCGTTACAAATGTACATAACAAAATTAAGGTATAATAATTAGAAGAAGGCACAGAAAGTAACGTGATAATTTAGATTAACGTTGGCGGAAATGAGGAGGAGCACACAACATTAAATTACCTCCAAAAAAAGCAAGCTAAGCTAGCTAGGCTGGTGCAAAACTGCATGCATATACAGACATATATAGATAGTAGCTTATTATTAGGAGGTGTGGAAGAGCATCCTTCAATTCGTCAGCACACTCACTCCTTGTCTCCCTCTCACCACCTTTTTTGTTCTATATAAACCTTAATTAGCTAGCTTGCCCAAACACACAAAATTCACATCAAACACATAGAGATAGAGATAGAGAGAGAGTTTGCTGATCGATCGATCATATCAGATCGAAAGAAGCTCAGCTCTCCATCTCTAAATCGTCTCAAATCTAATTAAGTACGTACGTACAATAATTAATCCAAAATGATGAATTCTCATCAGCTGGCTGGCGTGTTTGGAATTCTTGGCAAGTTCTCTTGTTTTTCTAGTCTCTAATTACTTACTTTAATTTGTAATGTTACGTTACCCGGTCATGTCTGGTTAACTAATGCAATATTTATGGGTTTTCTTTATTAATTTCTTTCGTTTTCTCAATGTTTCAGGAAACATTATATCGTTCATGGTGTTCTTGGCTCCACTGTAAATTACTACTACTATTAGTATTATTTTTTTTTGTTATCATTTTAATTTGTTTTTGTTTTTGGTGATATATATAAATATATATGGCGCATGTTTGGTTGCTGCAGGCCAACATTTCATACGATTTACAAGAGAAAATCGTCGGAGGGTTTTCACTTTCTTCCATATTCTGTGGCGTTGTTTAGCTGTATGATAACTTTATACTACGCATTGGTGAAGCAGCACGTGCTTTTTCTCATAACCATCAACGGCATTGGAATATTTGTTGAGACTATATATCTCGTACTCTACTTCGTTTATGCCAAGAAACGGGGCAGGGTTAGTTAATTACATATACTATACTATACTTTTTATTTAATGAAAAAATTACATTTCTAGTCCTCCAGCTATACCCCGCCATGGTACAAATTTAGTCCCTGCATGACCATTTTAACCCTAAGTTATGTATGGAGTGACGATTTTAGTCATTGAAAGACCAAATCAGCCAGATTATTAAGTGACAAATTGATGGAGTAGAAATAGTCTCTGATGCCTGAGGGACTAAAATTGTCACTTTGTACGTGCATAACTTAGGGTTAAAAGATAGTCACCCCATATAACTCAGAGACTAAGTTTGTGCTGCTGGTATAACTAAAGGACCAAAAATGCAAATTTGTGTGTGTGTGTGTGTGTGTTTTTGTAGTAGGTAGTGTGATGATCTACATATATGAATTGAATTTGCAGATTTTGATGGCAGTGGCGGTACTTGTGTTCAACATTGGAGTTCTAGGGTTAATCGTTGTTTTGACGTACTTTCTTTCCGAAGGTAACAAACGAGTGAAAATTGTAGGATGGATTCTCTCTGTCATCTCAGTCTGCGTCTTCGCTGCTCCTCTTAGCATTATGGTATGTATATATGCATATATATATATATATATATATATATATATATATATATATATATATATATATATATATATATATATATATGTAATTCATCAATCTCGTACCAACCAAAACACTAAGTAATTTAATTTAATTTAATTTATTATATGTAGATGAAAGTTATTAGGACAAAGAGTGTGGAATACATGCCCTTTAACTTGTCCTTGTTCCTTACTCTCTGCGCCGTCGTCTGGCTTCTCTACGGGCTTTGTATCCGCGATTTCTACATAGCTGTAAGTCTTTTTTTTTTTTTTTAATTTACGTAAACATTAAAATTAAATTCTTTCTTATATGATCGGATCGGAATGAATATATATACATATACAGACGCCAAACGTGCTGGGATTTGCATGCGGAATAGTACAATTAATCCTGTACGCGATATATAGAGACCGGAAAACGGCTGCAGTGGTGGCGCCCAACGGCGGGATCCAAGGCGTGGCCATCGTGGTGGACGCCACGGCGGCGGAGATGCTACAAAAAGGGACAGACGATGAGATCCATGAAACGACGCCGTCCTCCGTCGTGGTTGACATGAAGAAGGTGGTGGAGATGCAGCAGGGGAAAGTGGTATAAGCAACTAGTTTGCGTTACAACTTGGCTATCTACAACCCATAGAACATTATATATGAAGCTAAGGTCTCATCATCTCATATATATATATATATATATATATATATATATATATATATATATATATATATATATATATGTGTGTGTGTGTGTGTGTGTGTGTGTGTGTGTGTGTGTGTGTGTGTGGTTTAATCAATAAGGTGGCATCGCCATTCTTACTAGTATGTATTTTCTTTTTCTTTTAAGTTGAAGAGCTATATCTGTATGTTCATCCCAACAATGTTTGTTTTGTATTTTGTTCTATGGGTTTAATTAATCAATCAGAGTTATTTTATGCTTATGAATTTTATATCAACAATTAAATTTATAGAATTTTTCTATAGTATTAATAATATTATATTGATACAATAATCATATATATTATATTTAGTTGTACTTGGTATTATTGATATGGATGTTGATGGTATAACATACAACAAACATGGTATACATGATAATACTTGATATTACTAGGACCCATAGATGTAGGTGAAAAATCACTAAATTTATATAGGGAAAATGGCATTTTTTTCCCTTTGTGTTGTTTACTAATAGCACATTTTCTCCCTGTGTTATTTATGTAAACACTTTATCCCCCTCAATTGTTTTTGGGTGGTTATTTTTCCCCTTCTCCGTTAAATAAGTGTTAGGACTGTTAAATATGAGGGTAAAAATGACATTTCACTTATTATTATTATTATTATTATTATTATTATTATTATTATTATTATTATTATGTTGCAATCACTATTCCGATTCCTATGCAGACTTCAATTCATTTACTATTGCATTTCCGGCCAGTAGTAGTTATATTGATTTTTTTATTTATTTTTTTATTTTTTTATTTTATTTTTTTTTTTTTTGTAATCCATTTCATTTCATTTCAGAATGAGAGGCCTAGCCTGGAATCCTTACTCGAATCCTGCTGGTCAAATGATCTACTACGACGACCCGAATTTTCGCAAATCTCAAAATCTTAAAAGTGCCATTTTCCCTTAATAATAATAATAATAATAATTGAAATGTCATTTGTACCCTCATATTTAACAGCCCTAACACTTATTTAACGGAGAGGGGGAAAATAGTCACTTCAAAAACAATTGAGGGGGATAAAGTGGTTACGTAAACAACACAGGGGAAAAATGTGCTATTAGTAAACAACACAAGGGGGAAAAGTGCCATTTTCCCATTTATATATTTAAAATTGTTTTAAAAGTTTTATTACATAGATGAATAGATTTTTAAATTTTTTACAAAATATTAACGAGGCGTTTGGTGGGAGGGAATTACAATTCTATTCCTACCTAATTTTCACATAGTTCTGAAGGCAAGCAAATTCCTTCATTTGGTGGGAGGGAATTGCAATTTTCATGGAGTTTGAATCCATGCCCCCTCCCCCCGCCGCGTTATTTCAATTCCATGGATTTTAGGAAGAAAAATAATAACGTGTCTTCTTCTTCTTCTTCTACTCAGCACAAAACATCAATCAGTATAACTATCTTAAGCAAATATGCTTTCTCAAAACTCCCTTGTCTATTTTATTGCTTTTGTTATGCAATTCTGGGATATTTACAACATGTTTCATATATTTTCAATAACAAATTTTGAATTTGATCATTTGGGATTTATAATAATAATTAACTAGTCTTTTCTATGCGGGATGCACAAAAACATATGTCCAATATTTATATTTTAAAAAATAACTAACAAATTCTTATTAATAAAAATATATAAAATTAAATTTATTTATTATATTGAGTTAATTCCATCAAATGTCCCTTGTCTTTTGTAGCAATTCCACATTTAGTCCCAGACTATTGTTTTTGCCACTTAACACCCTAGACTATCATATTTTGGACGCTTTTGATCCTTCCGGTAACTTTTTCGGTGAAACTTCGTTTTAGGCAAAAGTATTTTTGTCACATCACTTTTAAATTTTTTTTTTTTAATTCTACGCATCTTGCAATGCCACGGGACAACAAGAGCCACCACCTACTTCACCCGCGGAGGTCATCCTGCTCGTTGTCGACAGTAGCGGTTTTTGGCGTGTCGATATGGAGAGTATGGTAGAGCAGAAATTGGCAAATTATGCTGTGGACCCAGGTCCAAAACGCGCGTCTGAAATAATGGTGTCATTAGTGGCACCGTTTCCTCAGCCAAAGATATATATATATATATATATATATTTGGATATAGATTCAAAAATTATGTTATACTGTTGAATATATAGTTCTGTAATTGTGAATATAGAGTTCAAAAATTGTGAATATAGACTTCTGCGATTGTGAATATTGAGTTCTGTAATTTTGTATATTGAGATTTAAAATTGTGAATATTTAGTTCTAAAGTTGTGAATATAGAGTTCTAAAATTGTGAATATAGAGTTAAAAAATTGTGAATATAGAGAAACGAATTTTGAAGACAAACGGCAAGGAAGTACGCAATTTTTTTTAAAAAAAATTTAGACGGCGTCGTTTTGACGCAAAACGATATCGTTTTGACGCAAAACGATATCGTTTTGGTGAACGTTGGTAAATTTTCTTTTAATTATTTTGCCAACGAATTGTGATCATTAATAGTAATTTTCTTGAAATGTTTCTCAATTTTGTAGGTTTTTCATCTTCTGTTCACACAAATAAATACATATAGCCACTGGATTTCAGTCATTGCAACTTCCATTGTTGTAGTTGATGATGAACTAATACAAGGATCTATGTGTTGGCATGCTTCTGAGCCTTTTGAAATTGAAAGTAGCTTGATCATTAGCCGAAAAATCGGGAAAAAAATTTAAAAGTGATGTGACAAAGATACCCTTGTCTAAAATGAAGTTCCACCGGAAGGACCAAAAGTATCCATAATATGATAGTTTGGAATGTTAAGTGACAAAAGCGATAGTCTGGAAATAAATGTGGAATTGACACAAAAGACAAATGACCTTTTGTAGACACTTAAATTTTGATAAATATTGATTATTTATCAATATTAGCATATAGAATATATTTAAAATATTTTGGATAATATTGATATTATCTAATTTGTTTAATTAGATAATATCAAAAGAGTTTGAGCTTATCAAAACTCTTTTATCCTACCGCCAGCTATAAATAGGAGCTTTCATTTCTATGTAATCACAAGATCCTAGGAAAAATTCATAGAAATATCTTAAAGCTTTGAAGCTTATTCAGAGATCACAATAAAAATGTGATCCTGAAAGTAAAAGCCCCTCCTCCATAATGATCATGCATATGCCTATTGATCCAAACCTCCATTGAAGATCAAGCCATTTGAACCCGGAGGCCCTTCAAGAAGAACAAGCTATATGTACAAGCCCTTCTTTGAAGATCAAGCCATTTGAAACTCGGAGGCCCGATCAAGCCACTTGAAACCCGGAGGCCCTTCAATGGTGGAGTGTTCAAGACATCAAATTGAAGAATCAGAGGACATCCCAGAGATCTTGTACTCACATTGCATTGATACTTGATATGTAACCAGAATTTTGAATATTAAATATACATTATATTCAATTTTCTTTGTGTACACCTTTATTGGAATTAACTCTTATTATATTATTATAATCCAATATATAATGTCTACAAATATTATTATCGTTAAAGAGTATAAGAAAATATATGGTGTATGTATGTGTATAGTATGGTAACAATAATGGAAAAGATAGTGGAAGTTATAATGGTTGGGGTATTTTTGTCCAAAAATTATATAGTACGGAGTACAACTCTAAAAGTACAATGTACAAAATGATTAGCACTAAAAACATGGACATAAATTAGGGATATAACTTTGATTGAGACTTATTATGTTTTTAGATAATAATAATAATAATAATAATAATAATAATAATAAGTATGGACATTTTGGACTTTTATATTGCTTATTCCCTTTCAATTCCCATGTATACCAAACATTGAAATTGAAATTCTCAATAATTCTATTCATGCAAACCAAATACTGAAATTTAAATTTCTATTTTATTCTCGTATTATTCATCTCCCATGAAATTGTAATTTCTTTCTCACTTAATTCCCGCATTTCAACCAAATGCTCCATAAATGACAAATGTAGAAATTGTTGAAAAATTAACTGAAATTGGCAAGTAGAAATTGTTGAAAAATTAACTGAAATTGGCAAGTTGAATGATTATTTTGAGACAATATTTTGAGTAGATTGCACTTTCTAATTTGGGTCAAATTAAAATGGATTCAAATTCTCCTAAGTGAAAAGTTTGATATATTATACACTAAAAAATGATAACGGATGGATGTGAAATTGATTTATAAAGTGTATCAATTGAATTGAAAAAATTCAATACGTTTTGAAAGACTTATAAGTAGTCTTTATCTCATATATATTGAAAAATGTATGAGTTTGAACTAGTATGTATATACAATTCAACTTTTAAAAAATTTAGATTGTGTAGCATAAATATTTTATTGTGCATATTGAGGTTTTCCAAGTCAAATTTCAAAATTAGCTTTCAAACTTGATTTTTTTGAAGAATTTTTATTTCAATTATATATCGAAAATTCCTACAAGAAGCATTGATATTTTGAGGTTTTCAGCAATATATAACAGTTGTCCTTTGGTTCAAGAAACCTTTTTTTTTTTTTTTTTTTTTTTTTTTTTTTTGGGACTAGTTAACGTGTACCATATAATATATAGTACGAAACAAAAGATAGAAGAGAGTATACTCCAAAATCAGTTACTAGAGGGAAATCAATATACTTTTTGAGCAAAAGAGGAACAAAAATTGAGGTTGTGACGCTAATAGTGAGTCATTGAGTGAATTTGTGGGTTTTGTTATAAACTTAGACCTGACTATCCGGCTACTAGTTTCCGCAAATTATTTTGTGTACCGGATTCCACCTTGCAAGGTGGATTCAAGTTTAAAAATATAAAATTTACATGCTGAATATTTATAATTTACATACTAAATGTTTACAATTTTACATACCAAATGTTCACAATTTACATACTAAATATTTACAATTCAAATTGTGAATATCCAGTATGTAAATTGTGTAT